CAGCCACAGCTTCTCTGGGCAACCTGTGCCAGGGCCTCCCCACCCTCACAGGGAAGAATTTCTTCCCAGTATCCCATCTAACCCTGCTGTCTTTCAGTTTATGGCCATTCCTCCTTGTTCTATCACTACACACCCTTGTGCAAAGTCCCTCTCCATTCAGGCACTGGAAGGCTGCACCCTGTCTCCCTGGAGCCTTCTCTTCTCCAGGCTGAACAATCCTAATTCTCTCAGCCTTTCCTCACAGCAGAGCTGTTCCAGCCCTCTGATCATCTTTGTGGCCTCCTCCAGACTGGCTGCAACAGCTTTAGGTCCTTCCCATGCTGGGGACCCCAGAGCTGGACACAGTCCAACAGGTGGGGTCTTACAAAAGCAGAGGAGAGGGGTAGAATCACCTTCCTCACCTGCTGCCCACACTGTGGGGGTGCCTATTCCCCACATTCTTTTGAATATTTATACTCATCACACCCATTTTGACCCTCCTCCCAACCTCCTCCTGGCTGGGCTGGGGGTCCTGCTCTCAGCACAGGGACCATCCAAGGTCAGGCCCAGCCCAGACGTGCAGCTTTTTCATCCTGACCCCACACCATGGGTGCTTTGTCAAGAAGGAAAAATAGTTTGGAAACGATAGTGGTGGTGTTTTTTTAAATCAATTAATTTTAATTAGGTGCATTCTGCCTGCAGGAAATATCAGTTGCTGTCTGCTTAGCACAGTATGTTTACTATGAACTCTATTAAAATGCATAGAAGAATTATATTTCAAAGAGGTGTTGCCTATACTAAGCCTATTAACAGCACACAGGGTTTTCAATGGCATGAATTAAACAGACAGCTTTTATTCCTAACATCTAATTATTTTTACATTAAATATAAAATGCATTGAAAGCAATGTAAAGCAGGCCCTCTCAGCTCACTGGTCCATGGCTCAGATTGTTTGGGTTTCACATCTGTCATTACAGTTGCCAAAGTATTCTATTTATTTCTGAAAAAAAAAATAGTGAGAAGAGCTGACAAATAAAAGGGAGGAAGGAGAAAACCATTGAGCCTTAAACTGGTTAAAATGAAAATTAAAAATTACTCGGTCCCTCTGGAGTCCCTCTAAAGGGACTGAGTCTGAAGACCCCCCATGCCACAAAAGCTGTTGTGTTTTTGATGCAAGTACGTGTAAGGCTTCAGGGGCAAGAAAATCCACACCTCCTAAATCTGAAATCACTTACTCACTGAACATCTCCCCTTTTCTCACTTTGCAAACCCACCCTCCTCACTCCTCAACAGTGACCACGCTCTTCCACCAACACAACCAGCTGCATCCCCTTGGAGCAATGGGGTCCTCCGTGGGTGGTGAGCTTCCAGGAGAAGCCATAACATCTATGTCTGGGATGCACGAGGGACACATGGCCATGGGCCACTGCATCTGGGACAGATGTGGTGCCAACATTAAAAAGAAAACAAAGAAAAAGAGAGGGTGGAGAATCCCTTGTCCTGTGCCACGTCAGTCCAGTTATCCTGCTGCCTGGAGAGTCCTCAGGTTGCATTTCAGCCAAATCTCTCAGCTCTCAGCTTCTCCTCCTCGCCAGGAAGGCCAGAAACTGGTTACAAAGCCCTCTCTGCTGTGCTGAGGCTTCTTGAGACAATAATATCAAATATCACAGAATCCCAGAATATGCTCAGTTGGAAGGGACCCACAAGGATCATCGAGTCCAACTCCTGGCCCTGCACAGA